TCCATCGTAGGCCTTTCCTCGGACAATAATCTTAACTTTGGTGCCAGCCTTGTGTGATCCAGATTTCACGTATCCCATGGCTATATTTTTCTTCAGGCAGGGGCTAAATCCTCCACTTGTGACTTCCCCAATGGTTTCACCTTTTTCGTTTTGAATCTCGCTGTGGCTTCTAGCAGGTGGGCCTGAAGAGATGAAACCAGCACGCCGGATTGAAGGACCTTCCTCAAGTTGTTTGAGTATCAACTCAGCACCAAGAAAGCCACCTTCCGCTCTTCTCCTCTTCCCTATAGCCCATGTGAGTCCAGCCTCCACAGGTGTTACGTGTTGCTCCATATCATTGCCATACAAACACAACCCAGCTTCTAGCCGGAGACTATCACGAGCACCCAATCCTGTCAGCCTCACCTTCCCCTCAGATTTTTCCAAGATTGCTTTGGCAAGATCCACTGCATGTTCAGAAGGAACTGAAATTTCAAATCCATCTTCACCAGTGTACCTACAATGCTCAGTGAAAAGCGCAATCAAATGTCATTCATCGCTCACTCCAATAAAATAGGAGAAATGCCAAGTTGATGAAAACGGAAATAATAACATATTTGTAAACTAAACAGATATGAAAGTTGTTGACCAAAAAAAACAAACGGAAATGAAAGTTTGCAGTCTGAGGCCTGGATGCTTTGTTCAGATATCACCAAAGAAAAGCATAGAACAGAGTTAAATTGCTTCACTCATCATCTTCAATCATTTTCTTAGTAATCGCATTCACATCACATGAATGCATATGGAAGAACATACCCAGTCCTTGTGAGAAAGCAGTGCGCCCCATTGATATCCAAAATTCGGAACTCTCCAAAATACAACTTGCTCAAATCCTCTTTCGTCAAGTGTTGGAGAGTTGGAGCCGCAAGAGGTCCCTGCACAGAATAATTAATTTCCTCATTATACATTTTACTGTACGAGATATTAATCAGCTATTGGAGCAAAATCAAACCATAAGAGATATTAATCAGCTATTTAAGCAAAATAAAACCATGCCCAATTGTCAGCCTGCTTCACTATTGTAAGCGCAACAGTTTTAACTGGTGAATTATTGGCCAAATCAGTCTAAGTAAGTTTCAATTGAGTTCAACAGTTCTAATTACCGTACTTGACTTAAACTTCTTTGAAATTGGTCTTTGATGTAAGAGAAAAGAAGCAGCAGTTGAATCAGACAAGTTTCAAATATGCAAAACTTGCAATCAAACAATCAGTTCTAGCAAAACGGAATATTTAGATTTAGTAGAAAGATAATAAGAATCAAAGGAAAAGGATTGACCTGGAGAGCTAGAAGAGATCTCTCATCATGGATGTGCCATGAGACATCTCCCCCTTTAGCCTTGAATGCCTTCATATGCTCTTCAATGTGAGCAAGATCTTTATCCCTACATCCAGCATTTACCACCAGGTATATATGGTCGTCGGTAACCTTGGTAATCACAGAGTCATCGATTGACCCTCCCTTCTCATTTGTAAAGACAGTGAGGGTCCCTGTTCCAGGGGCAAGTCCAGCAACATCAGCAATGACAAGCTTTTCAAGGAATGGAATGGAGTCCTTCCCCTTTAGGCTCAGCCCACACATATGGGAGACATCAAACAGGCTACCATTCTGCCTACAGTTTAGAGTGGAGTCCATGATTGAGTCCTTATACTGAATAGGCATGCCCCATCCAGCGAATGGCACCATCTTTCCGCCATTAGCAACATGGAAGTCATAGAGAACTGTCTTTTTGAGCTCAGCTTCCGAGGCAAAGTATCGGCGAGCTACAGCCTTCTTATCACCCTGAGCAACACGTCGGGTGATTGACTGGCCAAGTTGCCATAAACCCGCTCCTCTCATCTTAGCAGAAATATCTGATATGCATAATCATAGTGACTTTTAGGTCCATGTTACAAAATACAGATAGGTCTCAAACAACAGAAATGATATACTATATCTTGTCCTATCACTAAGAGCTTTTCGAAATGGGGAACTAACTATTCAAGCTACATCCTCAAATCTCTCCAAGAACAACAATCAACCATAAAAAATGTTGCATCCCACTTCATATAGACTGGTTTATAGAGTTGCATTGAGACACTACCATTATCATCAAAATGAGATATAGATATATAGACTCTAAAGTCATCCAATGGTATAAAAACACAGTTGAGATGATCAAGCAGGTCCCTTTACAAACCACTGCTAAATACCACTATTAAACTATACATTTGAGAATCCACCGAGTCAAGTTAACAAATTTTAGACCACTGAAAAATGCTACTGACTCAATCAGATTCGATTATAAGAACAATCATGTTTTAACGCATTCCAATAAATCAGAGCATTATCATCATGTGGATCTCAATCATTCAGAACCATCAAAGAGTAAGCAAGCCAACCACACAGATCTCCTAATCTTACATAATTTAATCTGGAAAGGAAAACGAAAATACAAAAAGAAAAAGAGATGCTCAGGAAAACAAACCCAATGAAATGCAATTGCACATGCGAGAGAGAACGAGAAAACTCACATACGGAGACGTGGGTTGTCTCTGGTATCTGTTGTTCTTCAAATACAGGCAAATCTGAGAGCCCAAATGAGCATCTCCAAACTCAGAAAAACAGATTTAAAAAAGATGGGATTTTTATATATGTGAGTGTAAGTACGAGATACAGAGACAGATATGTTGATAAAATTTTAAGAAAAGAAAAAATGGTTGGTGGTATATAGTGGGTGGAGGAGGGTTTTCCCTTCCTAATCGAGTTCGAGACAACCAAAACACCCCATCGTTAGCGAGTGGTGAAACCACTACCTGACAAAAGAACCCAATCTTCTATTCTTTGATGAAATGCTATCGCTTTCTCATTTCTCACTCCTCTTAGAAATCTTTTAGCTTTACCCAAAAATAAAAGAAATAATTTTTTTAGGGAAAAAAGTTTCAGTCTTTCACAGAGTCTCAGTCACACCCAGATTCCCTTCTTGTGCATTTTGATGTATCAACGGCTGTGATGGTAGAGTCAGACACGACAGTATCTATGCCGCTCATCTCGTCCGAGGTTGACTAAAACTGTAGTAAAAGCGGGACCCACCAAGGAAGTTGTTTCGTTGGCCCTTGAATTGAGTACATAGGTATCCATATTGTGGAACTGAGGACAGGTGATCGCCTAACGACCAAAGTTGGTGAGGGCAGGGACATTCTGGACACCAATGGCAAGAGATTAGTAGTTGAGATGGGGATATGTTTTTGCTTAAGTTTGGGATGAAAGAATAAGCACATCCCAATGTTTTTTGGATATCAAATATATGTTGGTGTTTCTTTCTTTTTTTCATTTTATTTTTCTGAATATTAGATCTCATTTTAAATTCTGATAATAAAAAAAGTACATCTCATTTTGAATCTTTGAACATGGTCCTGGATTGTGGTTAGCCCACTACTACAGTTCAGTCCAAAAAAGCCCGGTGCAATATTAGTCTCCTCCTGTATCCAATCCAACGTTGGGCTAATAGAGTCCCATGGACCATATCCCCATCATTTCTTACACAAGCGATACTGAAGAGTGGAAATTCAAAAACAGAACTTCCAATGCAGAGGTAATAACTCTTAATTATTTGAGCTACAAACTCCTTACTGTGTCACCATCCATTTTTACTTAAGAATCAATGTCAAATCAGTATTGTCACTAATAATAATAAGAACAGAGAGGGAGAATAAATCAAAAGAGAACATTTAAATTGGGTAGCTTTTAATTATTCCATAGATCTAGTAGTACATCGACCACATGATAGTACAAAGTAACTATATAGCTAGCTAGCTAGCTACTATATATATATATATATATATATTAATACATGGGTTGCAGCCACCGGTGGAAGAATCAGTGCATACATATATAGAACACTCAAGGCGATCCACCACCAGCTCCTTGCCCTTCAACTGCAGACCCAGCCCCAGCTCCGGCTGCTGCATCAGATCCAGATCCAGCTCCAGCTCCAGTGCTAGTGCCAGATTCAGAACCGGAACTAGAACCGGAACTGGAACCCGACCCACTTTGACTCCCAAACCCACCAACATTACCACCATAGCCTACTCCACTTCCGAAGTCACCACCAAAACCTATGCCTTTACCTAATCCATATCCATAACCTGGAAACTTGTGATGGAAAAATGCATATGTCTTGGCCTCCTTAAAAGCACCACCACCCTTTTTGCTCACATCCTCATTAACCATCCTGGCATATGTAGTGCCACTGATGAATATAAGCGCACCAACAAGCACAAACACCAAAACCTTAGTAGAGCTAGCCATCAGGAATCTATATATAAATAGATATTCTTCTTCTTATGTGAGAGAATATTTAAGCCAAAGATTTGTGATATTCGATTTGGGACATTTGGCTCTTCGGGACAAACGCTCCAATATATAGATGAAAGAACAAGAGTAGAGAAGCTGGTAGGTTGAAATTAGGGAAGATATATATATCCCACTTCATGTACATGAGTAACCTATATTTGTAGTTCTATCACGAAACATAAACATTCCCTTAATTGCTTTGTTTTTGCATGAAGTCAACTCATCTCTAACTGGCTTGGTTGAGAGAGAAGAGAGAACTACTTTCTAAAGTCAAATCACACACATTTTTCATCACAAGAGAAAATTTAAAATATATTCCTTACATATATATATCACACACACGTTGCTCAAAAGTCGGAAGAAAAATCACATGGCATTTTTGTGACCAAGTTAATTGATAACAGTATTTTATATGTCACGCTATTTACATTTTTTTTTTGTCACTCGTACTTTGGAGAGCCTTATTCGTTAATTGTTATTGGATGAGTTTAATTTTATAGATTCACGTAGCAAGTAGTTCATATGTATAACTAGATATTGGAGGAGAATATTGCAAAATCAAAAAAGAGGGCACTTTTTTATGAAGTTTCCACATGGTCTCTATCGATTATGTGCATGAATATATAGTCTAAGTACTGAGAGTAAGCTCAAGAGAGACATCATTCATATCTGAATTCCCAGCAGCTTTGCTGAGCCTCAACAGCTCATGAGAAGCTTTCGGTGACGAGTTGAGTGATAGAGACATTCTTGCATCATTATTAGAAACTACTCTCATGCTACTTTCACTTTCTTCACATAATAATACATCTTCAAATTCTTTATGATTGCTCTTGCAACCTGCACTCACTAGCGACACAGCTTTTCCTTGATCATTGCTCTCCTGAAAAGTCATACGTAATTATATATGGAATATATTTGCACAAATATATAAAATAGCTGTTTGAGCCCAGAGAGACATAGCAGCTACAGAGAGAGAGAGAGAGAGAGAGAGAGAGAGAGTGGTACTTGTGCATCAGTGCATCTTTTGAGTAGATCCTTGAATATGATGAAGGAATTTGGATTCTGCTCCCTCGTCACTTTTTTCTCAATCCACATGGCTTGCTTCGTCTCATCTTTCCTGTAAAAATTAAGACCACATAAGTATAATTAAGGGAAATTATAGAGGGAGATAATATAATTAATTCAGAAATGAACCATTTTGGCAGTGGGCTGGTAGTGTTGAGATCAAGCTGTTCAATGTAGCAAGTTTGATTGCTTTGGGAGGGTCCATAGTTGTACATGTTTTGCATCCCATCGTTGCTTTGAAAATAACGAGGTTGATTGCTATTGATTGGTTTCAATAAGTTTGAGTTGTTTGGGTGCTCCAAGGCCTGGAACATACCATTCCTTTTTGCTGCCATAGCCGCTGCTGCAACAAAATATTATGTTCAATTCAATTATTATTAGCTAGAGCTTTATAAAGAATTACAGAGTCTCCTTAGCTTCCTTCAAAAGATGAAAAATTACAAAAGCATGGACCAAAAGTTTTCTTTCAAATTAGTCAAAGGGGGCATGCATGAGTTCATGAATAGAATATGCTCTGTACATGTGTACCTTGGATGCCTTGTTCATGCTTCATGCTCCTGTACATCTGTCCGTCACAAACCTCAACGTGAGAAAGAATGAACAAAAATAAAAATAATTAAAAAGCAAAAAAAAAGGGGGGATTTGAATTAATTAATCATCAGATTAATTACCTGAAGATGGCTTTTAACGTGAGATATGGTAAGGCCCTTCACATTCATGATCTGTAAAACCATCTTTGGAGTAGCTCCTGTAATTTTAATTAAGAACAATAAATCATATATTAATTATTATGTGAATGATATATATATATATATATTATTTAACTAAGAGAGATGGAATTTAATTACTTTGTTCGCCGCCAAGCCTTTCGACTGCATGCACAAAACAGTGGTGAAGATCAGGTGTCCAACGGAGGCGAGGCATTTTCGAGCGAACATAAGGTCTCACCGGAGTTGACGACGACGACGGCGATTTCTGCAGGCCGCTTCTCTGATGATGATCAGCGGCAGCTAGCAAATGATGGTATAATACCAACCTCTGTCCAGCTTGATGATCGTCATCATCGCCATTGTCAACACAGGAAGATGGAGACCCCTTGAGAGAGCTCTTCATTGCTTGACTTGTTTGAGAGAGAGAGAGAGAGAGAGAGAGAGAGAGTGATGATATATATCAGATGAGGCCTCTGCACTGCAGGGGCTCAGCAAATTGAAAGAGAATAAATACAGAGATGACCAGTTGGTGAGAATTGTGTCCTTTAGCGGCAGCTTTTTTTTTCTCAGGCTCAAAGGGATACTTAATTTTTAGTCCTTGGAGTTTCAATTGGGAAAAAGAAAAAAACTTTGGGACACACCCCACCCCACCCCCGCAGAATTTCAGTCCTGCGCAGAGGTTGTGTGGTTTTATGTTCAAAAATGCCTTCATGATTGGGTGAAAATGGAAAAACCCAACCCAAGCCATATATATTTTTATTACTGCTACATTTATTTTAGTATAGATTTTTATTACTGCTATACTGGGTTAAAAAAAAGAAAAAAAAGAAAAGAAGAAGAGATGATGTATTAAAAAGATTAAACAGGAATTATTAAAAAGTAGAGTGAGGTCAAGTCAATGTATAATTATTAATTAATATAATATAAATATTTAAAAAAAAAATATTTGTTGGGAGTCAATAGATGTGAAATAGTATGGGAATCAGCAAAGCAAACGTACGTTATAACAAGATAAATAAATAGGTTTGACAAGAAAACAAAGGAAAGGCAAACGTACGTTATATGATGAGCTGAGCAAGTTGCATGTCCTAAAGGAAACATACCAAAATAAGCAAGTTGCAAGTTGCATTGCCATCCAATCAAATAAATATATTTTCAAACCTGCTCCCTTCGCTCACTCCTCACTCTCACAGTCTCACTCTCCTCACCGGTCAAGCTCATTCCCTAATTCCAGCCGAAAAGACTTTTCACTCCTCCCTCATAAGTCACACATACAATTAAATTAACTAATGGATGACTCATAGTCGCGTCTCTCATCACAATTCTGAAACGCAAGCAAGAAACAACCCCCGTTCACAAGGGAAGTTATATCCGTATCACTCTATAATTTCTCCAAATCCCGGCACATGCAAGCAATGGATGAGCACAATGAGGGAAGTGTGTGTTTGCAGATTTTGAAACGTAGACATGCTTCGCATGTCGGGCATTGCAGGCTAAGAGACACGTCGGGGATGAAAACGTCATTCACATTGGTGGGATGGGAATTTGGATGGAAGTTTCCTAATTAATTGATTTAATTTAATTCATGTGGACAAGACCAAAATGGCTGAAACCAAATTCATGACATAAGCGGAACGTGGCCTCCATGGCCATGCTGTTTCAGTAACAGATCCAAAGTCGGAGAGGCGGTTTTGAATTGGAAGAATATTCTCTCTTTCTTCTCTCTGTGTGTCTGTCTCTGAGTCTTGAGTCTGTGTGGCATGCATTGGCAGAAGAAGCATAGGAGACGACAAGTGTTGTGTGACGTCGTAAGCAAAGCTTGTGGTATTTTTATATTGTTGCTCAAGTAAGCAAAGCGAATAATGATGGTGGAATGGAATGAATGAGAAAGTAGCAAAGCCAAACTTGTCATACAGCCAGGAAGCACAAAGCATAACACACTCACACAATGCTGCGTTGCTTGCTGGCATCCGTTTCTTTACCGTCTATGCCGGTCTTCGGTTACCTTTCATTTTTTTTAATACAAGCCATAATGAAAAAGAGAAATCGAAACAGAATTTCGAGTGCATAAATAACTGTTATTATTATTTATCTTTATTAAATCAACTCAATTTAGGATGATAAACTCGATTACTCTCTTGGAGTTATTGAAGTGGATAACCCATCTAGCAATAACAATATTGGAAGAAAAAAAATCTAGAAGCTCAAGAGGAGCTCCCAATGAAACGCGAATTGTTACAATTACAAGGATGCTCCTAAACTTAGGATAAAACTATGTCACCCTCTCGTGACAAAAAAATTGACCCAACTGAAGCATATATAGAATCTAATAGTTGAATGGTATGAGATTTCAGAGAGGCCTAGTGCGACGGCCCCTTGCCCTGCCACAAAGCAGAGCATTTCTTGGAATTGGGTATTCATCTCTCCATGAATTTGCAGGAGAGTAGACTCTCAGATAGAACTGCTGGCCCAAATACTGCCTGGCCCAGTTCTCAGACCTCACGTTCCACATTCCCACATTGTCCAGTGCCACGTATATTGCAGTCCATGACCTCGGATACACCTGCGCGCACCCAAACAAATCCCAAAATCAAACATTTAATAATAAATAAAAACAATCCAACCAATTAGTATTTTCTTACAAAAATCACAATACCTGAGTTGTGCTAAGTGCAACTGTGTCTCTCAAATTGTAACGTGCTCTACTTGCTGGTGTCCACTGTCCTCCATCCATCCTGCAGATTTTATCCCACCAATTAATGTCAAAATCACTCAAGCATATAAGACACAATAAATAATTTTAACGCCTGGTTTTAGAACTATACGCATGATCTTACCCCATTACAAAGAATGAATAGCCATCAATGTGCCATGACTGCACGGTGTCTTCCCAATTCTGGAACACAATCTCGACGTACTCTCGGAAATTCGCGTGCATGACGGAGGTCTGAAGGTAGCCGCTTCCCCCTGTGGGGTTGGTAGGTATGCTTCCAACGCTGAAAACCCCCGGAATCTTGAAGTAGTCAGCAAGTTTTAAAGGAGTGTCTGGTTGAACATATGAGACACTATTGACAGCAAACCTCTGCTTCCCATTGATATAAGGAGCAGAGTTTGCAAGCATGATTGTCCGGGCCGGCTTGATCAATCCGTAGTGGTAGGAGCCTTGGGGATTAGGCCTTGGTCCACTTGCTGTCAAGTTCGAGCTGGTTCAAACACCAACAAAATGATCAAACTTGGATTTCAATCAGATTTTTAAAAGCATTGTATGTGTAAAGACATATTTATGTGTTATGCTGATATAATGTAGCAGAGAATTTGAAGTACCGGATAGATCTTGCCTGGCTGAGGGACCAAGCAACCTGTGTGCTAGGACCCCAAGGGAGAGGACCTGAAACTCCCTTGCGCGAATTGCTGTAGTGAAGAACGGCTGTTGTGGTGAGTACCCGAGGGGTGAAGCGCGAAGAGACAACGACGTAGTAGTCCTGGACAGGCTGATCAGCTGTGACCAGGACAGAATAGGACTGTCCAAGATGGATGTCAAGGGAGTCATAGATGTTCTGGAGTGTATGAGACCCTTCTACCTCAACCAGTTTCAACTTGTGTCCCTGAATTCTGAAGTTAATGGATGTTGTAAGCCCCACATTTGATATCCTGAACCTATATGTCCTCCCTGCACACAAATTATTGAAACAATGAGGTGCCAATTGTGCCTTTAGTTATAAGCACATGCAAATAAACAGTTACCCAAATGGAAGCTGATAAATTCAAAGAAAGAGCTCTGTTTGTTGAAGGGATACAAAGAAGAAGAGATGTTCATTTTAGAATACCTTGATCAACAGTAAATGTGTATCCATTCCAGCCACGACCATTGATGAGAAGCCCATCAGGGGAGGGAAGATTGCGACCAAACTCCAAGAAGCTTCGTCTCAGTATCTAAATTTCCGAAAAGAGAACATTATAAATATATATGTATATATACATGATGAGGAACAAAGTTCGAATATTAATAAAACCAAAATATAAACAAGTTATGTGACATAATAGAATGCTTAGTTGCTTACATAATGATTAGTCTTATACCAGTCACCAGCTAATACAGTGAAGTCTCCAGCAGGATTAGGGAAAGGAACCGGAATCTTAGGACGGCTCCAGATTCTGATGCCGCCAAACCCTCCAGCTGCTTTGTGGAACAAAAAGGACGGGAAGTAGAAAAAGCTACCAATCTGATCCTTGACTTGGATATTGTAAGTGAAGTTCTTCCCTGGTAGGATTGGACAGTTTGTGCCATAAACTCCATCCTGCCATGAGTTCCTTCTCTGCTGTATACCATCCCTACAGAAGAAACAGTCAGATTGAAACTCAATAGTGTCACTTAAAAGGTTGCAACTTAATGCATCACTTGATCATAAACATAAGACAGATTTTACTATTTATTCTTTCAAAAAGGTTTTGCCCTCCAAAATTTTATATCATCAAACTGAAGTTGGATGCATAAAGGAAGCCACCAGCAAATTATTTACAATGTGGCAGATCAAAAATCAACAAACTAGTAGTTTCAACTAACAGTCTCCTTCTAACACATTGAACGTGGAAGCCCCCTCCACCTCTCTACTACACCAAGTTAGACTTGATTGAATGCTGGTTTTGCTTGTCATAAATCAAGGATCTGACAGCACGTGAAGTTAGATCTACTCTGGCTTGTGGGGCTAAACAGTAAATGCACTCTTTGGATGTCAATGTTTTCCACATTTAACAGCTGACATGCGTGCAGATGGCAATTCTGCGAAAATGGTAAATCAAGAGATATTTTACTAGATTTGTGCCCATTTTTACTAACAAATGTCTAGACTTGGTTCAAGTAATTACTCAAGTTTGATCTAGTTATAAACCGGACAGGGATATAACGCAGACGGGCTCACTATCTAGGTCTGAGTAACACTTGTTTATTTATCGAATATGATGTAGTTGTGGTGTGGTCATGTCTGTGGACAGGAAGAGATGGAGCATGTGAAGGATCAGATTTCACAATACGAGGCCAGTCCCAGTTGCACATACATAATTTTTTATTATCATGCAGTGTGGTGTGGCATGGCCAAACATGCAATAGGTTTTTTGAGATAAGAGGTAATTTAATTTGATAACTGAGATTTTAACATTAAAACAACATTCCAAACAAAGTCATATCCTCAAATGAATGTCCGTACCATGTCTTAATAAACCCAAACCGACAGAAAGCGACTGAAAGGGTCAAAGTTGCTTAATTACTTTGTAAGAGTTTTCTTTTTATGAACAAAAACTCCCTTTATAATCAATATCAAGGATATGCAGCATATTCTAAACCACGGCCAACTTTACTAAACGAACCCCAACTTCATTCACATGCTTAATAGACGCATGAGTTATTCTTACTTAGCATGTATGTAGAGAATTATTCTAATTTCTATATGAAAGTCAAGTTTTGCAGCCATAGATCTGGTAGAGTAGAGGCTGATGAAACTTTTTAAGTTTCGACACAAAACATTTTATCGTTACTCTGTTTAGTAGCTGAGACTACGGAGGGAAACCAAAAAAAAGAAAAGCATTTTGGAATTATATGCTTTACCCCAGATTCAGAACAGAATTACTTTCTTTTATTTTCTCAGAAAACAAACACAATTTTCTATATATAAAAAAAGACAATAAAAACTGGAAGACAGAAACAGAGTATTTTACCAAGAAATGAGGAATGGTTCACGTAGGTAGTTGAACACGCTGATGACCAAGTTATCGTTTGTCACAGCATCGATCTGAGGCCCTGGAAATTGCCCATTGATCAAGATCCCCTGCAACAGTTATTCAAATTCAACCCACTAATCAGAAACTCCACAGACGTTGTTTTTTACTCAGAAAGAAAAGAAAGAAAAAAAAAGGAACTTCATTTGCTCCCAAGACCAGCACAAATGCTTGAAAGATAATCGCTTTCTGTCTCAACTAGTAAAGAACAGTTTTGAAAGCTGCAATAAAGTAAAAAAGCCAAAAGTACCTGTTGCTTAACACCAAGAGGATAAATGTCACCATAAGTGATTTTCCAAGTGAAGAGCCTATATGGGTCTTCACCATTAACGCCATTAACAAGAAACAGAACCAAAACAATGGCAAAAGAAAGAAGCTTGCATTCTCTCATTTTCTGTTCTAGCAAACTAAAACAAGTTAAAAATGTTTCTTATTTAGATCTACAGAGAGAGAGAAGAGAGAGTTCAAAGTAGACTTGGTGAGGTAACCAAATGGATCCCTCTCTCACCAAATCTAACTATGAATCTTTCTCAATTTATCTCTTCCTATCAATGTGGTGCTTTTGTGAGCAGAGCTTAGCTCATAAGCTCATTTTTGTATGCGAGTAAGAGAACAGTAGATGATGGCTCTTGTGAGCTGTCATCAGTGATTTCAAGTCCAGTGCGTGAAGTGAAGTGGTGCATGTGAATGTTCATAGTCCAATCATGGACCGTTGAATTTTAGGTGGGCCCAAAATGAAGGTGTGACGCCCAACTCTTGTCGACAGTTTCTGATTGGCCAGTAACTTTTGGTGTGCAAGGGGAACTTGTGGTAACAAAATGGAATTGTCCAGTTACTTTTACCAACTTACCCCCCGTCACGTGCAGTTGTATTTTATTTTATAATATACTTCTGTACCTGCAGCCTAAAGACAAAAAAAAAAGAGTTAAAAATATATTATTTCACTCAGATAGTCAGATTATTTTACAGTTTTACTCTACTTTTCAAGGAGTGAGTCGTCACATTCAAGATATTAAATTCCCATTTGCAGACGAGAGAGAAATTAAAAATCTCTGGTTTGATGATTCAGTAGCATCAGACAAATCAAATTTTAACATAATAATAATTTTATTAAAATTTTGCCACAAGTGCAGCATCAGTAATATTTTTGAGATAGCATAAGCATTTGTCTGAAGAAGTTGTGTAGATTAATGCATGTTCAAAAACTACCCTCGCTGCATTTGTTTGTTTTTTTCTTTCCATTTATGGACATTGTCACAGTCCTATGTTATGCTTCAACTATGCAGACACATTGGTGACATAATCTAGAGAAGGCTGTTCTTGTTTCAAAGACTTTGATTCGATTCTTATTATATAATATATACATTAAATCCCATAGAAACCAACGACTGGCCGTGGATAAATCAAATTAGCTTTAATAGCTCATAATATGGCACTTGCCATCATTTTCTGCATTATAATCTAGAACTATTCTATAAAGATTAAGAGGAAAGGTGAAGAAATTAGTCTGTTTCTGCTATGGCAAAGAAGAAACTGAAACTGAGGAACCAAGGTCCCTATGTAAGTTGATCATGTTCCCATGCTGCTATGCATATTACTCTCTCATCATTTTCTGTTTTTTTTTTTGGGTGTGTGTGTGTCTGAATTTGGGTATTTTGGTTAGGTTATACTGGACAATGGGTTGGTAAAGCTTACAATTTTGAGGCCTCAAGGGTACTTAACTGGCATCAGTTATGGAGGAATGGACAACCTTTTAGATATCAAGTCAAATGAATCTAGCAGAGGGTAAAAACCTTCATGCATATCTGATTCTCAGTATTCTTTAATAAAGATGGTTCTGACCAATTGAACTGTGAGAATTAACAGGAGTGTTGGTAATTTGGCAAGATTTTATACATAATCATAAGATAACAACATGGTTTTTTTAATTTGAAACACTCATCTGTGTTCATTTGCAGATACTGGGATATCAACTGGAGTTTGCCAGGAGGTCAAGACATATACACTTTGTATGCTTTTTCTTTCCTCTGAGATGAAGTATCTTCGATAGTTTCGATTTGTACTTGCCTTTTACCCTATATATGAAAAAAGTCAAACAGTCTAACTACACATTGAGTACGCTGAATTATGTACATTTCAGACTGAAAGGAGCTGAATATAGCGTTGTCCATGAGAGCAATGACAGCTTAGAGATTTCATTCAAGAACACCTATAATCCATCATCAGCTCAAGGTGTCAAATTGCCGCTAAGTGTAGATATAAGGTTGTACTTTATTAACATAAGTCTTCTTGTCGTCACTTTTATGATATTGTCATAGTTTAATTTGTTATGGTTTTCATGATCAAATGATGACTTTTCAGGTACATATTAAGGACCGGTGTTTCAGGCTTCTACAGTTATGCAATATATGAGCGCCCTTCTGGATGTCCTGCTTTTGATCTTGCTCAGACAAGGATGGTGTACAAGTTGCGAAGAGAGAAGTAAAATCATTCTATTTATTTCCTATTTTGAGTTTCCAAGTGAATTGGTTCTTGTCTATGTTTTTACATTGATTGAACTTGTGTTAGGTTCCACTACATGGCAATAACAGATGAAAAACAAAGGATAATGCCAATGCCTGAGGATCTGCTTCCAGGCAGAGGCAAACAACTAATTGTACCTGAATCAGTTTTGCTAGTAAATCCCATCAATCCCGATCTCAAAGGCGAGGTGTGTACCTGAAATATTTTCTTGTGTGTTTCTGCACAATGCATGTATGCCGCATTGAATTTCGATAAAAAATTCCGAACTCTGCTATATGAGACTGGATGCAGGTTGACGATAAGTATCAGTATTCAATGGACAACAAAGATGGTGGAGTCCATGGATGGATAAGTTCTGGCCCCATTATAGGATTTTGGGTCATCTTTCCCAGCCAGGAGTTTCGCAATGGAGGCCCTACCAAGCAAAATCTCACAGTCCACACTGGTCCAACCTGCCTTGCTGTAAAAGTCTATCACTCTAAAACTATCTATATATATATTCACAAAATCTTAGAAACTCACCTGGATGATGTAAGCAATTCTATCTGGTGCAACAGATGCTTCATGGAACCCATTATATTGGGGAAGATATATTAGCTCATTTTGAAGAGGGAGAGACTTGGACTAAAGTGTTTGGCCCCTTCTTTGTATACCTTAACTCAACCCCAGATGTATCAAAGGCACATAATTTATGGATAGATGCGAAAAAACAGGTACTAATTCATTTCCAGCAAACCATGTTTAACGTCAGTAAAACTAGACCTCCTCTTTTGTGTTTGTTGAAAACCTTAAATGCAGACTTACTGGTAAAATTTGTACTTCGCTCATCCTAGAGGTTGTTTGAAGAGACAGCGTGGCCTTATGATTTTGTCTCATCACCCTACTATGTCGCTGCTAAAGAGCGTGGTTCGGTTTCAGGAAGATTATTCGTCCAGGACAGGTTAGTACCAACAAATGGGGATTTCTGTTTAACCAAACCATTCCATGGCACAACTGATTCTATGGTAATTAGTATTATTGTTTATGTTTATTTTGTACATGGCCCCAGGTATGTTTCTG